CAGGACTTTGCAAGAAGCTGCCAAGACTGCCCCAAGACGTCCACAGATGCCCCCAAGAGGGCCCCAAGACGGCCCAAGAGACGCCCAAGAAGGCGCCAAGAGGCACCGAAGACTGCCCCAAGAGGGGCCCAAGTGGGGAAACACGAACCGAACATCCGAGCCCTCCGCACCAAGAGGCGCCCAGGAGGCCCCAAGAGGCCCCCAAGAGGCTTCAAGAGGCCCCCAGAAGCCCCCCACGAGGCCCCCAGGGGCTTCAAAAGAGGCCCCAAGAGGCCCCCAAAACAGCTCCCCAGAATCCTCAAAACTGCCTCCAGGAGTCCCCCGAGAGGCCTCGACGAGATCCCAACGACCATCCAAGAGGCCTCAGACCCACAACCCAGGCACGGTGGCGGCATGGGCCGAAGGCCATCCGGTATCTTCGAAGATTAAGTGAAACTAGCGCCGTCGCTTCGGGCTGCGCACGCAGGCCGTGTAGAACCCTCTTCGAGAGCTGTGGCCTCCGCTGTGAAGGATGACCCCGTCGCAGACAAGCACGTCTCGGCCATGGCGTGCGCTTCGGAAGGTGCCACGGTAACCGAGCTCAACAATCCAAGCCGTTGCGGCACGAGCTCCTGCACGAGTGCCGCCGTCCACACGCACCGCTATCTATATATATATATATATATATGTATATCGCAAACTTCGACAGGAACGCCCGGACATGGCCGTGCGAGTGTTTGGGACCGACTGCGGCCCTCGCCCCGTCGTCTTCCTCCTCCTCCTCCTCCTCCTCCTCCTTGTCCTCCTCCGCCTCCTCCGCCTCCTCGTCCTTCTCTGCCTCCTCCGCCGCCTCCGCCTCCGCCTCCGCCTCCGCCTCCGCCTCCGCCTCCGCCTCCGCCTCCGCCTCCGCCTCCGCCTCCGCCTCCGCCGCCGCCTCCTCCTCCTCCTCCTCCTCCTCCTCCTCCTTCTTCATTCCGTTACCATAAAAAAACCCTGTCGCACCCCGACGCATGTCGGTAGGTCGGGCCCAGCGTTCCGCCTGAGACTTCCTCACCACGTGTGATCCTGAAGCTTAAAATCCCACCAGCCCTCTGGGCGTATGTGGTCTAGAGCAGTTTCTCTTCCAACCCCCTTCCTCCCCTTCGGGGAGGGGTTTATCACTGTGCCCTACTAATATACACCCCATCCCCCACCCGGCCGGCGGCCAACCTGGAACCATGCCGATCCCATGCGGCCCCCCCCCACCATCCCTGTAAAAAAAACCCAGCAAAACGCTTTCTGCCTCCACATTTGGGGCATGCGCGACCAACCCGATGCGGCCCCCCCCACCCCACCATCCCTATCAAAAAGGAATACAACATACACTGAGGGGCAAAGTCTTGAGTCATGTTCGTGAGGCCCGTGAGCAGTTTGTATTGTGTTTGACAGGGACGGCGGGGGTGTCAGCATATTCCCTGCTGCGCGCAGGGCGACCATCCCTGACATAGAAGAATACAAGATGCACCTCGCGGCTAAGTCTGGATCATGCGCGGCCACCCCGCAATCATTGTCAAGTGGTTTTTGACAGGGACGGAGGGGGTGGTGGCGCGTGGCCTGCTGCACGCAGGCCCACCAACACACAATGATGGGCAATGGTGGGGGCCGACATGTTTCCCGATGTGTGCTGTCACGTGCGCAGGCGCACCTGACGCACTCTGCACGTGTCCCGAACGTGGCGCACCTGGCGCGGCTGGAGTGTGCGGCAGACCTGGCGCATTGGGAGCACGTAACGCATCTGGCGCACCAGGCGTGCCTGGCACGCTGGGTCCCCAGGGGTGCCTGGCGCGCGTGGCGCCCCGAGCATGCGTGGCACACCTCGCCCAAGCGTCACGCACGGGAGGGCGGGTGGGTAGCTTGACCCCTCCCACGACCCCCCTTGGAACTGGAGAGGGGGTGTCGCGAGGCGTTGGAGCGTCCAAGATGGCCCAATATGGATGCACAAGGGCCTCAGAGAGCACAAGATGACCTCCAAGATGGCTCAGGATAGCCACAGATGGCTCCAGGCGGCCCCCAAGATGCTCCTAGAGGCTCCAAGACCGCCCCAAGACGGCTCCAAATGGCCACGGAACCTCCCCAGGAGGCCGCCAAGAGGCCAGAATCGTTCAGCAACCAAAGGAAAGTACGGCAGGTTCGTGTCGTGCCGACCCCAGCGTTGGTTTTTGACACCGCAGGGATCGTTCAACCTTGAACGATCGGCCGCTGCCGCAACGTCCGATCGTTCAACATCGATCGATTCTGGGTCGCCGGCGGCGTTCAACCTTGAACGCCCGCGCTGGGGTCGCCGCTGGTCGACACGACGCAAACCTACCGTAACTGATGTGGGCCGTCTCGTCATTTTGTGTTCGATGGCCTTCCGAGCCTTCTGAGCACTCAAGATGGCTCCAAGGAGGACCCATGAAGGCCCCAAGCAAGGCCCAAGAGAGCCCCAAGACGGCCCCAAAAGAGCGCCCAAGCGCGCTCCAACAAGGGCCCAATAGGGGTCCAAGAGACGAATTTAGGCACTCCAGAAGGGCAAGGCAAATACCCCCCCCCCCCCCTTGTCTGATCGATCTCCTCCACGATGGCTCCAATAACGCCCCCGAGGCTCCCAAGAGCGCCCCAAGAGGGGCCCAAGAGGCGCCAAGGAGGCCCCAAGATACCCCCAAGAGACCGAGACCCCCCAAGAGACCTCAAGAGGCTCCCCGAAGTACCCAAGACGTTCTAAGAGGCGCCTGGGACCGCCAAAAGGTTCCCACGACACCTCAATAAGCCCCAAGCTCGCCATGATCCGCTTCCTATTCCTCTTCCTCTTCGTCTCCTCCTCCTCATCCGCCTGTTCCCCCCTCCTCACTCCTCCCCCTTCCTCTTTTCCTCCTCCTCCTCCTCCTCCTCCTCCTTCTTGCCCTCCTCCACTTTGTCCTCCTCCTCCTCCTCTTCTTCATCCTCCTCCTCCTCCTCCTCCTCCTCCTCCTCGGCGTCCTCTTCTGTGTCCTCCTCCTTCTATTACCCCTCTTTTTTTGCGCGGGCCGAAAGCGACAGCATGTGGCGTTCTTGAACAAGTGCCGAAACGGAAACGGAAACGCGAGCTTTCGCACGAGGTACATGGCGGGCGCCGCGGGAACAGCGGTACCAAAAAGGCTGCGACGAGGATGGTAAAATAGTAGACAGCCGCGAGGTACATGGGGCCAGTCCAGGCCTTAGTGTGTGAAGCCCATCCCGTTGATAACCTAAATACCTAAACGACCACCCTTCGGGTGATAAGGAGGTTGTGTGGGGGTGAGAGGGGGGGAACCAACATCTGACTCAATCGATCTCACTATCGATCTCACTGAACGGGACACCACGGGACACCATGGGACACTTGTCGATCTCACTATCGATCTCACGATCGATCTCACTCGACCGGACACCACGGGACACCACGGGCCACCACGGGACACCGCAGGACACCTCTCGATCTCACTATCGGTCCCACTATCGATCTCACAATCGATCTCACTCAACGGGACACCATAGGACACCACGGGACACCTCGGGACACCACATCGATCCCAATATCGGTCTCACCATCGATCTCACTATCGATCTCACTCAACGGGACACCACGGGACACCTGTCGATCTCACTATCGATCTCACTATCGATCTCACTTTCGGGACACCATAAACACCACGGGACACCTCGGGGCACCACATCGATCCCAATATCAGTCTCACTATCGATCTCACTATCGATCTCACTCGACCGGACACCACGGGACACCTGTCGATCTCACTATCGATCTCACTATCGATCTAACTCAACCGGACACCACGGGACACCACGGGCCACCACGGGACACCGCGGGACACCTCTCGATTTCACTATCGGACTCACCATCGGTCTCACGATCGATCCCACTCAACGCGACACCATAGGACACCACGGGAGACCACGGGACACCTGTCGATCTCACTATCGATCTCACTATCGATCTCACTCAACGGGACACCACGGGACACGACGGGACACCTGTCGATCTCACTATCGATCTCACTATCGATCTCACTCAACGGGACACCACAGGACACCACGGGACACCACGGGACACCTGTCTATCTCACTATCGATCTCACTATCGATCTCACTTTTTGGGACACCACAGGACACCTCGGGGCACCACATCGATCTCAGTATCGATCTCAGTATCGACCTCAAAATCGATCTCACTATCGATCTCACTCAACGGGACACCACGGGACACCACAGGACACCGCGGGCACTGCTAGGGCCACCGCCGGACGGACGGACGGACGGACGAGGGAGCAACATTTGCCTTGATTTCGCCCTAGCTACGGCGGACACCACGGGACACCACGGGACGCCGCGGGACACCGCTAGGGCCACCGCCGGACGGACGGACGGACGGACGGACGGTGGAGCAATATTTGTCTTGATTTCGACCTAGCAGCGGCGAGTTCATTCCTCTCGCGCGCCCACGCAGCTTCGCCTCGCCCGCACGCACGGCACGAACGAAATGGAACGATTTCCTGGTTGGGGGTCTCCGTTCCACTGCGATCTCACCCCCCAACCTCCGATAATCCCGCCCCAGGTATCAAAGGTACAGGCTGCCCCTAAGGTGCAGAGGAAGAGTAGCAAACAAGATGCAAGCACGTGCTGAGAAGCGAGATGATGAACAAGGCTTTCATTGCAAAGTGCAGTCTGTGTGAGTGCTACTGTTTTCGAGACTGGCTGAGCTGCTTGGCTGGTACGTACTGTCACGGTTGGCCAGTAGAGCTTGCGATCCTTGGGCTGTTACCCCTGTATAGGAGAGGAGGCAGAATGCACGTGCAATCTGGTACAGGTACGCATGGGATTGGGGAGAGCAGCGCTGGAAAATTCAGCTGCAACTTGGTGACCGAGTACTGGTTGTTGCAGCGGGTGTCATAGAAAAAACGTGGCGACCAACGCCAACGTAGCCGCCCCTACCACCATCCCCACGCATCCCCCCCCGACAACGCATCTCACTCGACCCCACGAGTTTCCTTGAAGCAAGTGGCGATGCGCGGCAGGCCGAACTGAGCTTGTGAGAGTGTCAAGTCATGGGTGCAGTATGTGAGTACGTTCTGCTCTTGAATACTGGCTGTGCTGCCCGGCTGGCTCGCACTGCAACGGCTGGCCACCAGGACTTGCCCATCCGTGGGCTGCAACGCCTGTAGGATAGGAGAAAACAGGGGCCGTGCAACGCTTGGCTGCTACCCCTGTGGAAGCGGATGCATGCAAAGAGTATTTGTGAGTACTTCCTGCTCTTGAATACTGGCTGTGCTGCCCGGCTGGCTCGCCCCGTAACGGCTGGCCACCAGGACTTGCCACCCGTGGGCTGCAACGCCTGCAGGATAGGAGAAAACAGGGGCCGTGCAGTATGTGGCTGCTGCCCCTGTGGAAGCGGATGCATGCAGAGTGAGGGGGGGCAGGAGCTGTGACGAGGAGTGGGGAGAGGACCGCTGGAAAGGTCAGCTGCAAAGTTGATCTGGCACTGGCTACTGCAGCGAGTACCTTGCGAAAGAAGTGGCGAACAACGCCAAAGTGGCCGTCCGTGCCTCAGCCACCACGGATCCCCACCATCCTCGTAACCCATCTCCAACCCCCAGTCTCTTAGTACGGTAGTCGCCGTACTGAAGCGCATAGTCAACAGCTATGGAGTGGGAAGATGCAAAAAGGCCTTGATATGAACGGAATGCTCGGCTGATCTGCCGTGGCTGATTGGCTGTAACAATGCCTGGAGTAGGCGCGAAAGAACAACGTGCAATCATTGGGCTGCGACCTTGGTTTGGGAGAAGGAGTAAAGCAAGTAGCAATGCACAATACCCTGATGTGAACGGAGTGTTCGGCTGGTCTGTCGTGGCTGACTTGCTGTCAACAATGCCTGATGTAGGCGAGAGAAAGCCTAGTGCAATCCCTGGGCTGCGACCCTTGCGGTGTGGAGCGGGAGCAGATCAATCAGCAACGATGGGTGAGAGGTGGGTGAGAAGGGGCCGTGGGCAACCGAAAGAGTGAAGAGCAGGGACCCTAAACATCCGAGGGACGATCAGGGAAACTGCTGTCCGCAACAGTCGGTAGGGTACGGCCCCTTGGGGCGAGGGGGGCCAAGCAGTCATGCTTGGCTGGTCCTCCTCCTCCTCCTCCTCCTCTTCCTCCTCCTCCTCCGATTCCTCCTCCTTCCTCCCCACCTTGATTTACGACGGTTTCTCCAGCTCGTTGTTCCTCTGTGTGCTCCCCCACTTCTCTGATCAGGGCAACTCGCCTGGGCATCGTTTCTGGATAAGCGTCACTGATTTGCAACAGCTTCACAGATGGAGGACGGTCCGCTTTCAAAATGTGGCTCTCGCCTGAGCGCCGCGCACACTCGTCTTAAACATTCGCAAGAGGTTCACGGATGGAGGACGGCTCCTTTTCAATATGCGGCTCTCGCCGTAGCGCCGCGCACATACGTTTTAAGCGTTTACGGCAGATTCCAATATTCTCATGGCCAAGTCCCAGAAGTGGTGTTTTGGGACGGTATCTCAGGGCGCAACAGTTACGCTGATTCCCGGTGCTGAAGTCCCAGGACTGGTGTGCTTGCACGGTTCAGGATTTTCAAACGGTTGTCTTCAATCGGGGCACCTCCCTCAATGAAATGAACCCTTGCATTGGGCCCATGAAAAGGAAACTTGGAGGAAGGGTGTATTCCATGGTTGTCGGGGAAAATGAGTACTCCTCCTCCTCCTCCTCCTCCTCCTCCTCCTCCTCCTCGGCTTCATCCCCGTCCTCCTCCGCCTCCTCTCCCTCCTCATCGTCTTTCACCCTGTTCTCGTCCTCCTCCTCCTTCTTCTCCGCCTCCCCCTCATCCTCGTCCTCCTCCTCCTGCCCCTCCCCCTCCTCCCTCCTCCTCCTTCTCCTCCTCATTCCTGCTCCCCCTCCTCCTGGACTGTCCTCCTCTCCTCCTCCTCTCCTCTCCTCCTCCCTCTCCTCTCGTCCTCGTCCTCTCCTCTCCTCCTTCCTCCTCCTCCTCCTCATCCTCTCCTCATCATCCTCCGCCTCCCTCCTCCTCCTCTTTCCTCCCTCTCTCCTTCCCTCCTCCCTCCTCCCTCCTCCTCTCCTCCCTCCTCCTCCTCTCCTCCCTCCCTCTCCTCATCTCATTCTCTTCCTCGTCTCTCCTCCTTCCTCCTCCTCCTCCGCGGCTTTCTCCTCGTCTCGTCCTCCTCGTCCTCTCCTCCTCCTCATCCTCGTCTCGACCTCCTCCTCCTCCTCCTCCCTCCTCCTCCTCCTCATCATCATCATCATCAGCATCAGCATCAGCAGCATCATCATCATCATAATCATCATCATCATCATCATCATCATCATCATCATCATCATCATCATCATCATCATCATCATCATCATCAGCATCATCATCATCATCATCATCATCATCATCATCATCATCATCATCATCATCATCATCATCATCATCATCATCATCATCCCCCTCCTCCTCACCCCTCCTCCTTCTCCTCCTCCTCCTCCTCCTCCTCCCCCTCCGCCTCCTCGACCTCGTCCTCATGCTCCTCCTCTTTCCTCCTCCTCCTCCTCCTCCTTCTCGTCCGCCTCACCCTCCTCCTTTTCCTCCTCCTCCTCCTCCGCCTCCTCCTCCTCCTTTTCCTCATCCTCCTTCTGCTCTCTCCCACTTCAAGCTCCTGCCAAGAAAGGCGCCAAGACTGGCAGGTCGGAACAAAGCACTGCTGGGGCCGGCCTTCGCCTGCACAAACTCGGCCAGCCGGCTGGCCATGGCCACCACCAGGTGGGTGGTGGACCAGTGCGGGTCCTGGAGGGGGGGGAGGAAGAGGTAGAGGAGGAGAAGGAGGAGGAGGAGGAGGAGGCGGAGGCGGAGGAGGAGGAGGAGGAGGAGGAGGAGTGAGAGGGAACCTTAGCAGGGGACCGACTCAGGGGGTGGGGAAGCGGAGTTTCGATGTTCGAGGTCTGGGGTCTCGGGCGTTCTGGGGACTCCTGGATCGTCCCGAACGGCCGCCAGAGGCTTGAGTTTTGACCCGAGAACCACGAGGGCACCAGCTCAGGGGGGTGGGGGGTGGGGGGGAAGCATTGAGCTGGATTCGGCGATACTTCGCCGAGAGATCGGCGAGAGGCCCCCGATTGTAAATCCGACTGCTCCTGGGCGGGGTGAGCCATCGAACCCACGGAGGTCGACGCGCCCCTCGTGAGCCCATCCCCCTCTGGCGTTGCCCCTGTGCTGGGGGCAGACCCAGATCCCCGACGACGTGGAGCTTCATTCCCGGCGTTTTTTTTCCTCGGTTTCGGACCCCCGGGGGGCCCGTAATCGAGCCCCCGGGAGCATCACGCATTGTTCCAAGATCAGCAAACATCCGAATCAAACATGGATCCGGGACCATCATGCATGCACCGCGTCCTGGAAGAGGGCGAGGGGGGAGAAGCACCCAGACATCCTCCCAGACATGCGACGTCCTGATTTTTCAGAACGCGGCCACCGGAAGTTCCGACCCTTTCCCCGGGACAGGGTTCTCATCCCGAGTCGTTTTGTTTGACGGTCCTGGGGCCCGGCCAGGGCTCCAGAGGCCGAAGACAGCGGGAAAACCTGCCGTCTTGATGTCTGTTGTACGACGCGACCGTGGCTGGGCTCGAGCCGCGAGGAAAGCAGGACGGCGGCGCCTTGGTCTTTGGTTTCGCCTCTGGAGGTCTTCGCCGGGCCCTGGGGGCCGTCAGAAAGGGGCCCGGGACGGAGAGCCAGGCCCCGGGAGGGGCTCCGGGCCTCCGAGGAGCCATGGTGCGGGACGACCACGACGTCGGATGTCCAGAGCGTGGGGGAGGAGGGAGCAGGAGGAGGGGAGAGGAAGAGGGAGGAGGGATGGGGAGGAGGGGGGGGGAGGAGGGAGCAGGGGGCGGGGGAGGAGAGGGCGGAGGGGGGAGGAGGAGGGGCAGAGGCAGGAGGAAGGAGGAGGGAGGGAGGGAGGGGAGGGAGGGAGGGAGGGAGGGAGGGAGGGAGGGAGTGGAGGGAGGGAGGGAGGGAGGGAGGGAGGAGGAGGAGGAGGAGGAGGAGGAGGAGGAGGAGGAGGAGGAGGAGGAGGGAGGAGGGAGGAGGGAGAAGGGAGGAGGGAGGAGGGAGGGGAGGGAGGGAGGGAGGGAGGGAGGGAGGGAGGGAGGGAGGAGGGAGGAGGGGAGGAGGAGGAGGAGGAGGAGGAGGAGGAGGAGGAGGAGGAGGAGGATGAGGAGGAGAGGGGCCCCTGATGAGAGGGAGGGTCATACGGGGACGCGGACGAGGAGCACCAGCACAAGTGAGGGAGCAGGAGGATGAGGAGGAGGAGGAGGAAAAACAAGAAGAAAACGTGCGGGTCCTGGAAGCTGAGCTTCGACCTCTTCATGTTGTCCTGCACGCAGGCGCACCTCTGGCTTGACCCGCGCTCGGAGCAGGCCCCATCCCTCCCTCTCATTTTCTGCGCTCGGCGATGCTCCGACCAAGGGGTCCCGCGACGCACGGTGTCCCCAGCCGGCCCCAGGCCTACTGCGAGACCAAGGGCATGCTGGATGTCATTGAGGAACGCAGCGTCCGGTCCGCCCAGCAAGTCGGGTGCTCAGGGGCTGAGAGAACGGTGAGGCCCCAGCGAAAGGCTCGATGCCCGTGTCGTTCCGCGTCGGGCACCTGGGCGAGACGTGCCGGCCAAGGCCAGGGCCAGGCCGAGAAGCATGCTTCGCCCTCCTGCGAACGCGTGCTTTCCTCTGAGTGGTCCCGTGGCTGCCCCGTGCGGCTATCCCCGTGGCAGGCCCGGGGGCACTGTCCCGCGGGTGCTGCGTCAGGGTCGGTGTCGCCTCTCGTCGCCCGAGCGTGCGAGCCAGAGCTGTGCGGGAGCGGCGCTGCGTCGGCCGAGGCTGGAGCCACGTCGGGCAAGGATGCTCTGCGCGGGCGCCTCGCGGTGGGGCGCGGGGTCGTCCCGTGGCTGTTGCGTGGGCCGTCCCGCGGGTGTCCCGTGATGGGCCCGTGCGTTGCCCCGCAGTGGTCGCGTGGGTTGTCTCGTGGTCGTGCCTGGGCTGTCCTGTGGCTGTGGCACGAGTTGTCCCGCTGTTTTCCCGCAGAAGCTGCACATTGGAATAGTGGGCCATTTGCAAACAAAACGCACATCGAAATACCCATCGAGATCCACAGATAGCACCGAAATGCACACCTACATGCAAACTCGAAATGCACGTTCTCGCAGTCACACGGCAATTGGCCGGGGATCCTTATACTCGGAGAGTGAATCGAAATACAAGCCCAACATCATCAACAACAACAGCAACAACAACAACACATCGAACTGCAAATTGGAATGCAAGTTCCTCCCCCCCCAAAAAAACTCCACATCACCTGAGGGGTGGCACGTGAAGTGCCAAGGACTTTCCTATCCCCCCCGAACACAGCGTCCCCCCCTCCCTGCCCACTCCTTTGGCACTGCTCCAGCTGCGACGGCTCCGCGACCTCCAGCACGCCCAGCGGCGCGCGGGCGCAAAGGCTCGTCCAGGTCGCTGCAGCGACCTTGGCACCACTGCGCTCCACCGACGCGGGCGGCGCGGCGGGGGGCGCCAGCCCTGGAGGCCATCACCCTCGCGGACGGGGCGCCGCGGTGCACGCTGGATCGTGCAGAGGAGGAGCGGCGGGAGGCCCGCGCCGCGGCGCGGGCGCGGCGGCGAGCGGCTTGGCGACAGTGGACCGAGGACTGATCGGCGAACCGGCAGGGTTGGCTGCACCGTTGGACCGCGGAGCTGGCGCCCGACCCGTCCATCGCCGCCTGGGGCGCCCAGCTCGCAAGCGTTGAGCAGGGACCGACCGTCCCGGCATTCCTATAGTCCTACCACGAAGTGTTCTTAGAACCCCAAAAATGTTCTAAGCGCAAAAACAATGTTCTCAGTACAGAAACCCGATGTGTGAAAACAAAACAATCTCAACCAGAAGTGTTCTAAGAACATCTCGTGGAAACCACAAAAGGTTCTTTGAACATTGTTTTGTAGGGCTATAGGCGAGCCATGACGCTTCGCCACTGCTTGAAAGTGGGCAGCACGGCGTGGGTCCTTGCGCTCCAGGGCGGCCCGGCAGCTCGGCTGCGCTTCCTCGGAAGGGCCTCGGCGGACTCTCTGGCAGAGGCAGTCGCGCACGGACGTCGGGGAGGAACGGCTGCAGGAGCTGGGCGGGCTGCCGCCCTTCCCTTGAGCGCGCACCGTGGACCGCCGTCCTCGTGACAGGAGCGCCCAGGCGAATGCCCAAGAGGAAGAAGCTAAGGTTGGAAGGCTGGGCCGTCGGCGAGCTGCAGCTCCTCCCGCCGGAACTGCGTGGCTGGATAACCTCCCTCCAGGAGGAGGAGGAGGAGGAGAAGGAGGAGGAGGAGGAGGAGGAGGAGGAGGAGGAGGGCGAAGAGGAAGTTGAGGCGACAGACGAGTGGCCCAGTGAGCTCCCGGCGCCGGACGGTGGTGCTAGGCCGCTCGGCCAGCGGCCAATCAGCTTGCTGCCCCTGCTGCATCGCGCATGGGCCGCCGGACGGGCGCGCAGTGGCTGCCAAAGCTGGGGCGGCGCAGTCAACATCCCGCGCGGTGCAGAGGAGCTCGCCTGGGAGCTGGCCCTGGAGCTGGAAGCGGCTGAAACCTTGGTAAAGAGCATAGCCGGCGCTGCGCTGGACCAGTGCAAAGCCAACGACCAAGCATGCTTGCGCGCGCTGCCCGGCATCCTGCGCCGCGCTGGCGTGCCGCGATGGGTCGTGGCGCCAGCCATGGAGGCGTCCTCAACGCGGCGGCGGGTCCGCGTCGGGCGTGCCGTCGACGACCCTTGGGTGCCGTCCTGCGGCATGCTGCCCAGCTGCGCCTTGGCGGCGTCTCGTGGAGGCGCTGGGCGATCGGCATCAGCAGCGGGTCAACGTGGATGGCTTCACTTTTCCGGCGCGCGGACCTGCGCCGGAGGCCGGCGGGCTTGCGGAAACGGTCCGCGGGGCGCTACAAGTGACGACCGCGTTCGAGGCCGCCATAGAATGGCGCCATAAGCGCGGAGGGTCTTTAGACCCTCCCCCCACAAGGTGCCATCACTTAATTTTTCGGCGGCCTTCATTCACGGATTGGTGTTCCGCCAATAAGGCGAACTACGGAATTTTCCCCCGCGGCGCCCGCCAGCAGCAACGGCTACGATTGCGACTACGACTGCGACTACGACTGCGACTACTACTAGTCATTATGCCTCGGGAGCGCTCTTGGCCCTCAGAAGCTGCATTCTGAAAACTCCGTCCTGGGAAGGGCCGTTGAGGCTCGGGCCCCGCGTGAGCCGTCAGAATCTCCACCCTCAGAAGCTGCATCCTCAGAAGCTGGATCCTCAAAAAAACCGTCGAAGCTCAGGCCCCACGGAACCCGCAGAAACTCCACCGTCAGAAGCTCCATCCTCGAAAAGATGGTTGACGCTCAAGGCCCACGAGGGCCTGCAGAAACTCCAATATCAGAACCTCCATCCTTAAGAGGATCGTTGGAGCTCAGGCCTAACGAAACCCTGGGACACCACACCCTCTGAAACTTCATCCTCAGATATCTCATCCTCAGAAGGCTTACTTAGCTGTGCTCACTTTTCTCGCGGGCGCTGATGCTGAAGGCTCAAGTGGCGCTGTCTCACAGCAGCTGCTGCCCTCGAGTTGCCTCGCGCAGGCTCGCGCGAGGGCCGACATGTTGGGCATCCTCACTGGCCCGACGCAAGCGCTCATGAGGGCAGAAAGTGCGGGCTCATCCATTTGCAGAATAACTAGGCGGCTCCAGCCTCACGAGGGCCAAACGAAACTCAAACCTCAGAACCTCCACTCTTGGCAGAGCTGTTGCAGCTCAGGCCTAACGAAGCCCTGACAAATCACATCCTCGGAAACTCCATCCTCAGAGACCTCATCCTCAGAAGGCCTGGCGGCAGTTGCTGCAATGTAAGGACGGCATCCTGGCCGTCATGCAGGCTATGAGTTGGGCGCTCACTGTCCAGCTCCCAGTGCTTGGCCTTCATCCGCATCGCCAACATACTGCCCGTTGCAGGTATGGTGTCCTGGCACAGTTCCGGATTTTCAAACGAATCTATTCCAACCCGGCACTTCCCACAATAAAGATAAACCCTTCTAGGAGCTTCTGAAGAGGGACCTCGGAGGGAGGGTTCATCGCAATATTGTGGATGAGTATTGGGCTTATGCTGGTCCTCCTTCTTCTCTTCCTCCATACCTGTCTCCTTAGGAACAACTTCTCCCTGTCGCACCCTCAATCGTGTCGTTGCGGCGGGCCGGGCGTTGGGCCAAAGACTGCCTCACCGTTGGCAGCAGCCTCAGGGATGGAGAACGGCCGGTTCTCGAAATGTGGACCTCGCCGAGGCGCCGCGCACATCTGTCTTGGAGAGTCTGCAGCCGCTTCGAAGGATGGAGGGCGGCCCGTCTTCAAAATGTGGTTCTCGCCGATGCGCAGCGCACACTCGTTCTAACAAGTTTGCGACAGCTTCATCTCACCATCGCTCGGACGTCCATTCCCTGTGCTTTTTTTCGGTTTCGTGCGTGGTTTTTTTCGCCAAATGATCAAGGATGCTCCTCGATGGTGTTCGCCGAAAGAAAAATGCACACGTCCGAGCGATGCCAAGTCATGGATGGAAGACAGCCCGTTTTCACAGTGTGGCCATCGCCCCAGCGCCGCGCGCACTTGTCTCAAAGCTTGCGGCAGCTTCAGGTATTGAGGGCGGGCCGTTTCATAATGCGGATCCCGCCTCAGCGCCGCGCCTATTCGTTCTCAAACGCTTGCAGCAGTTTGAATGGTTCGTACGACTGCAGTTCCAGCAATGGAGCGCTTCAGGATTGACAGGACACAACAGTCACGTTGATTCACGGGGTTGAACTCCCAAGAATGGAGTTCGGACGCGATGAGCAACTGTCAGGACAATTATCATGTTGACTCGTGGCGTTGACGTCCAAAAAAATCGTTCCGTCATGATTGAAAACTCTCCACCAACCAAAATTCCTGTGGGGGCATTTTTAGGACCTATGAAGAGGGAACCTGGAGGGAGGTTGGATCTCAACATCTTTAACGCGTCTTGTGTTTTACGCTGGCCCTCCTCCTTCTTATGCTCCTTCTCCACAATGACACAATATGAATACTACTCTCCTCTCTCCCTAGATGACGTCCGGAAGATGTCTGGCCCCCCCCCCTCCGCGGATTCCCGGGAGTTGGGTTTTCGCTTGGTTTTTCGTTAATACTGTTGCTCCCGCTGAAGCGCTGGTCCCATTTCTGCGCCTCTGGTTATTCCAAATTGTGCTCCCGCTGCAGCGCGGCCGTTTTCGGTCCTTCCAAATCGGCCCCAAAATATAGAAAACGCCCCCCGAAAAAAACATCGGAAGTGATTACACATTCGGTGTCGATTCCTTGTTTTTTTGGGCCGCAGAAGCCCCTCTTTGGGGCGTCGTCGCTTTCAGGAAGTATCAAGCGGGAGCCCCGTTTTTGCTTTGAGAAGGCGACATTGAAAGCAGAGCCAGCGGGTGCTCTCCATCAGCCCCGCCTTATGTGGAGCTTTTCGGGGAGCCCAAAGAGCTGGACATGGAGCCACGCCTCCAGATCGGCCCAGACCTCTCGAAGACGAGCCACTTATCCTCCAAAGAACCTGGCGCCATGCCATGACATGCTGTGCGGTGCTGTTTTTTACGCCGCTGTGAGATGCCATGTTTTTCGCTGCAACGTTCTGTGATGCAATGCTTCACTGCGCAATGCCACGTCATGCTACGGCATGCTACGTCTGCCGTGCTCGTCTACGCCATGCCATGCCGTGCTCTACCATGCATCGCGTACCCTGCCGCGATCATTGCCCTGCTCGACATCCGACCGTGCGAATAGAGATGATATCTATGCCACAGTAAGGGATGGGAGGGAGGGGGAGGACGTCAGGTATGACGCGAGCGCACCTAGCTTGTACCCTCCCCCCTCCCCCTCCCCCTTCCCCTCCCCCTCACCCCCTTTCCTCTCCCTCCATTCCCTCCCCTCGAGCCTTTCCCCCTCCCCCTCCCCTCCCCCTCCCTCCCCCTTCCCCTCCCCCTTCCCCTCCCCCTTCCCCCCCTCCCTCTCCCTCCACTGCCTCCCCTCGAGCCCTTCCCGCCCCTGGCGGCGCCACCCCCGACTGGCTGACGTCGCCCCGCGGGGGCACCACACGCCGCCGCTCTCCCTGTGCCTGCCCTCCCTGGAGTGCCGCAGCAGCTTCTGGGCCCAGGCCTCGATCTGCGTCGCCTCCCCGCGCGGGCAGCGCCCCGTGCCTCCTCCTCGTCCCTCCTCCTCCTCCTCCTCCTCCTCCTCCCTCCTCCTCCTCCCCTGCTGCTCCGCCTGCTCCTCGACCTGCTCCTCCTCGTGCTCCTCGTCCTCCTCCTGCCTTTTCCTGACACCCCTCCAGGGAGCCCCCTGCGTCCCTCCTCCTCCTCCTCCTCCTCCTCCTCCTCCTCGTCCCCGTCATCATCATCATCATCATCATCATCATCATCATCATCATCATCATCATCATCATCATCATCATCATCATCATCATCATCATCATCATCATCATCAGCAGCAGCAGCAGCAGCAGCAGCAGCAGCATCATCATCATCGTCATCATCGTCATCATCAGCATCATCATCACCACCACCACCACCGTCATAATCATCATCATCATCATCATCATCATCATCATCATCATCATCATCATCATCATCATCATCATCAGCATCAGCATCAGTATCATCATCAGCATCAGCATCATCATATTTGTTTTCCTCCTCCTCCTCTCCGTTCTCTCATTTCAATTGTCTTCCTCATGCTGCTGCTCGTCATGCTCCTCCTCCACCTCCTCGATACCAGTATCTGGCCCGGCCACGCCACACCCCTTCTGGCTGCGTTTGGAAGGTAAACATCTAGATTGCACATCTTCGCAGCCGCTCTCCTCCCCTCCTCCTCCTCCTCCTGCTGCTCCTCCTCCTCCTCCTCCTCCTCCTCCTCCACCTTCATATCCTCCTCCTCCACCTCCTCCTCCTGCTCCGCCTGCTCCTCCTCTTATTGTTCCTTCCTCACCATGCTCGTGGTTGTTGTCCTGCTCCTCCATGTCCGCAGTATCTTGTTCTTTCCACGCTTCATACTACGCCTGCCAATCATCGAGTGTCGGCGTCCTTGACACGTAAGAGTCGCGGTTGCGCTAGTCAGACCGCAGACGTGCTGGGCAACACATCCCATGCAAGGAATACAAAGACCGTGCAATCCACAATACTTGTACTGCTGCTGCGCCTCCTCCTCATCATCATCGTCAGCAAGTCAACATCGAGTCGTTGAGGCGCTCCGCGATCCTAAACCTAGGGTGTGGAATAATCAGGCGGACTCGAGTGGGCCCTGCTATGACGGTGATGCTTTGTTCTCCGATCAGGCTGTATGCTGTGGCGGTGTCGCGGCTGTCTTTCATATCACCTGCAAGCTGGGGATGCCACCACGGTCTGGAACGCAAGCAGTGGGAGCGATGCGCATAGTTACAGTTCATATGAATCCCTATGGCGGATGCCAAATTGCAACCTGGCCTATACCAGATCACGAGTGTCCCAGAAAGATCGGCGCCCAAGAGATCCGCCCCTGCGGCACGGATCGACTACCGGCTCTGGGCGTAGTGGTACGATTTGCTCCTGACCCCCTTGCATCCGCGTTTGAGCCTCCTCCAGCTGCCTGCTCAGTCTCGAGCAGCACTCACAACCCACACGGTGAGGGAGGAATGCACGAGGGAAGCCGAGGAGCACCGCACACGCTAGCCGCATCGCGCCTCCTCGCGGGTGGCCGCCAGCACCAGCGCGATCGGCGTCGCCCTGTCCGACTTCTCCTCGTCCGACTTCTTCTTCAGCTTCTCCTGGGCCTGGGCGGAACTCAGCTGCCTCTGCCGACTGCTACAGTTTTCGGCGGCGGGGCTCTTAGAGAACGAGTCGGGCGCGTCCACGAGGGGGGCGTCCAAGGGGGGGGGGGGGTGCAAATCCTGGCCGGCGGCACGTGCGCGGCTCAGGGGAGGGGCCGGGGACGTAATGAAATAAGAAGAGGCGCCATGAAATCTGGGAGATATCATGGCACCCGCCATGATATCCACATACCCCTAATCATCACCCCGCTCTTGGTCGCCCCCGAATGAGGGGCGGGAGATGTTTTGGTATTACTCCCTGTAACGGTCATTATACCTGGGGGGGGCATCGGGTAATGGTACCGCTTGGGCGGGGTGGGGCACGTCGGGGGGCGGGGGGTGCGCTGCGATCGCCCTAGTTTGTGCAAGGGCACACACATACACACATACACACATATATATATATATATATATATATATATATATATATATACTAGAACCATCGCGCGCGCTTCGCGCGCGCTCAGGTTCTAGCCCAGGCCGGGGGGGCGCTGGACGATCTTGGACAACGCTATCAAGCACAGGCGCGCGACGGCATCTGAGGAGCTTCTGGGGTGTTCCGCATGCTTCGTCAACTGGCTGTTGGAGGCACCTCTTGGGTGCCTCTTGGGGGGGCGTCTGAGGGTCCCTTGGGGGCATCGGTTCTGCAATCTGAAGCCGTCATTGGCCGTCTTGGCTGCGTGGAGGCCCGACTTGAGGCCACCTGCGGCCAGATTGAGGCAATCCGGAAGCCTCCCGGGGGCCTCCTGGAAGCAGTTTTGACGCATCCAGGGCACTCTCGGGCTATTTTAAAACCTCTTGGACGTCTCCTAGGAGCCTTTTGGGCCCTCAGGAAGCTTTTGGGGTCCTCGTCGGACCACTTGGGGGCCTCTTGCGGCCTCCTGTGGGCCGTTTGGGGGGAACGCTCTGCTGTTGGGTCGCGTTCCCCTTCTTGGGCCTCTCTTGGGGCTCTTGGGGCCCTCTCGGGCCGTCTTGGGCGCCTCAAGCACCGTCTTGGGGCCCTCGGCCCTCTTGGGAGCTTCTTAGGGGCCTCTTGGATCCGATTGGGGGCCTCTTTGGGACTTCCCGAAAACCTCTCGGGGTAGAAAGCTCGGACTCTCGGTTCGTGTTTCCCTTCTTGGGCCTCTCTTGGGGCCGTCTTGGGGCCCTCTCGGGCCGTCTTGGGCGCCTCAGGCACCGCCTTGGGGCCCTCGTGGGCCGCCCAGGGCCCTCTTGGAAGCCTCTTCGGCTATCTTGGAGCTGTCTTGGAGGCCTCTTCCTCCTCCTCGTCCCCCTCCTCCTCCTCCTCACTCCAGCTCTCTCTCCTCCTGATCTTCCTCCTCCTCCTGCAGCGTGTTCCGGAAGGCTCCCGCCGGAACATGCTGTGCACAAGTGCTGTCACTGCTCCCGCCACCGTGCCCTGGGTCGTGGGTCAAAGGCAACATGGGTGTTGGTTTCGATTTCGTGGTTGGCCTGTCGGGGACGTCGTGAAGGCAGTTTCGCAGCTTCTCGGTAGCCGTTTTGGGACCGTTGTGGGGCCTCCTCGGGGCTGTTTTGTGGCCTCTTTAGGCCTCGTTTGGGCCTCCTGGGTGCCTCGTGGGGGCCTCCTGGGTGCCTCTTGGGGGCTCCTTGGGGCCTCCTGGGGCGCTCTTCAAGCGGGAGGGTCGAATTTGGGAGTCGTGGTCCCCCTCTTGGGCGCATCTTGGGGCCGTCTTGGAGCTCTGTTGGCCTGTCTTGGGCAACTCTGGGGCCGTCTTGGGGCCCTCTTGGGCCGTCTTGGGGCGCTCTTGGGAGCCTATTGAGCCGTCTTGGAACGTCGGACAGCCGAAAAGGCTGGAAGGCCAAAATCGTTCGAAAACCTTAGTAAAATTGACGATTTCGGCCTCTTGAAGCGCTCTGGAGAGGCGTCTTGAAGCGTCGTGGAGTGCCTTGGGGAGCCTCTCGGGCCGTCTTGGGCCTATCTTGGGTATCCTGGAGCGGTCTTTCGGCGACTCGGGGCCCGCTTGGGCCGTCTTGGAAGCCTCTGGAAGCCCTCCTGGACTGTTTTGGACCTCCCTGGCCGCCCCGTCCTCCCACGGGGGGTCGGAGGCGGCGGCCTCGGAGGCCCAGGACGCGGAAACCCTGTAAAAACACATGGAAAGTGAGCCCCGTGGCCCCCATGGGGGTCCGAGGCACCAATCTGGCGCCCCCAGGCCCCGTTCCCCGGTATATACAAGTGGCACGTGTGTGCCCAGGCTCATACAAAAAACTGAAGGGGCGTTTGAAGCAGGAGTGAAATGCAACATCGAAGTCGCACTCGAGCGCAAGTGGGGTTGCCACACCTTGCGATGTGTGTACCAGGACCCCCCAGGAAGCCTCAGGAGGCCCGACTTGGATACCAGAAGAGGCTCCAGGAGGCCCCAGGATTGTGAGTGTTGTGCGTGTGTGTGTGTGTGTGTGATGTATGCTTTGTGTGGTGCGTGCTTTTTGTGTGTTGTAGGTGTTGTGTGTGTGTGTTATGTTTGTCTAGCGTGTGATGTGTTGGGCGTGATTTGTGTCTCTGTGTGCATGTAGTTCTGAAGCCCCAGGAGGCCCCAGGAAGCCCCAGGCGGCCTCAGGAGGCCCCAGGAGACCCCAGGAGGCTTCAGGAGGCCCCAAGAGGCTCCAGGAGGCCGCAGGAGGCCCCAGGAGGCCCCAGGAGGTTTCAGGAGACCCCCAGGAGGCTCCGAGGCGGGGTCTGGGGTGCCAGAAGGTTCAGAAAGCCCCAGGAGGCCCCAGGAGGTTCCAGGAGGCCCCCAGGAGGCTCCGAGGCGGGGTCTGGGGCTCGATTTTGGAAGGATGTTTCAAGCGAAACCGCCATTCCCTGAGAATCGGGGTCACAATTATTGAAATTACCATGGTTTTATGTTAAACTGTTGAAATTCCAATGTGTTCTTGGACCCTGACGCCACGATCTGCGTGAGGGGTGCCACCGATTTTCAGAATTTCGAGGATGTCCCGAGCGAGACGCCCAGAAAAATCGCGGACGCGTGCGCATTAATCGCCTCTGAGCTCTACTCCCTCGGAGAGGTGCGTATGAGAATATATATATATATATATATATATATATGTATATATATATATATGTGTATATATATATATATATATATATATATATATTAATTTGCCCAGTGTTGCGCGAGACGTATCAAGTCAGATTATATTTCAAGTGCCGCTCAACCACCCTCGTGGTAGAGCTCCCTCCGGGCAGCCGCTCCAGGTGAGAGGCAGATCGTGCTTCAGCGATGCACTACACGCATTACCGCTAGGGAACACGACGGGAGCCGAGTCCAGCGGAGCGCCCTCGAAAGGCACGCGGTGCCAACCCGGGCGCAGCGCGACAAGCCGAATCCAGCCGTAGTGAGCGTCGTAACGGCACGGCGTGGGCAGCTAGCCGGATCCAGCCGTGGCGGGCGCCGTGCCAGTGGGCACAGCATAAGGGAATAAAGAAGGGAAAACGCCGTAACGGCGCGCCGGGGCCGCTGCACACAGTGGTATCCAGGGCGCCTGGCGGCCATGCGGACAGGGCAGGGCGTCGGGAGGCGTCCTACGCTGTCACAGCGAGTCGAAGGTGGGGGCCGACGCCTGCGCAGTGGAGGGGTCACACACGCCAACTATGAAGAGGGCTCCGTCGTTCGGCAAGTGCGGGAGTATCTCGGAGAGCGGTTTGTCAGCTTCGACGGCCGAAAGGCCCTCTTCGCTGAGGAGCTGAAGAGCAAAACTGTGGGTGCGGACCATGTGGACCTTTTTAGCGGTCTGGTGGGCCACCCGGAAGAGGTACAGCGGGCGGTGAATCGACTTTGCGGTCACCGCGAAAGGCTCGAAGTCGACCGAAGGGCTGCTGGTCGCGAACTTGATGAAGACGGGGATGGGCACGGAGCCTGTGCCTTCGAGCTCCGCGCGCATGTCCTCGACAGTGCCGAAAGTGACGTCGTCCTCCACGTCGTCGTTGGATTCCGCGGTCAGGGCGCCGAGCGCGGGAAACGAGGGGATTGCGGGCAGAGACACGTCCTCGATGCCTGACTTCACTCGCGGGGTCGCCACGGCACCCTCGGTTTCTTCGTGGGCACCGTGGGCTGTGTCTTCGGTCGCTTCTGAACCTCGGTCGTCTTGTGCACCCAGGGCTCGTAGGCGAACTGCACCGGCGATCGAGGGCGCTTCGATGCCGGAATGTGCCTCGGGCTCGGGGGCACTGCGCCAGCCGCCGCCCGTTGCTTCCGCTCCTGCCGATGGCGCCGCCGCTGCGCGGTCACCAAGGCTGAGAGGGGAGATCCTCCCGTCCGGGGACGTGCGGCTGGGGCGAAGGGCTCGGTTCGGTCGGCGGCCCAGGCGCGGGCGACGCTGGGGAGGGGCGGGTGGCTCCCTCGGTGCGGCCACGCCGGGTCTGAGCAGGAGCGTTCGTTGCAGTCAGGGCCACTGTTCTGGTGCTGATGGTGAGTGTTGGCTCCTGGCTGGGGGCTCCCCGAAGGAACCGCTTGAGAACGCTGGTGGGAGCACGAGCCGCTATGTGAAGCAGCATCTGGTTGACTTCGTCCTTGGACATCGTGGACGTGCGCCGCTCCAGCTCCAGGATCTGCTCGCGCGGCTCCTTCCCTGCCCCCTTGTGGGGCCACCAAGCTGTAGGCGCGGGTTCGCAGTTTCCTGTACCAGTTGTAGCTTGTAGTTTCCAGTGTTACAGTTCTGCTTCTTGCTGGTTACTGTAACTAGTTGATTGACCGAGCGAGGGGGGGGGGAGGCCCAAACCAGATTTTTTAGCGTCTCCTGGGCGCGTTGTCTGAATTGCTGGGGGGGCTCGAAATCGACACCTCTCACGCAGATCCGCGGGGTCAGGGTCCAAAAACACAAGGGATTTGCCACATTTCTGAAATTCGGTGCCACCCCTCATGCAGATCCGCGCGGGTCAGGGTCCAAAAACACAACGGATTTGCGACATTTCTGAAATTCGGTGCCACCCCTCACGCAGATCCGCGGGGTCAGGGTCCAAAAACACAAGGGATTTGCCACATTTCTGAAATTCGGTGCCACCCCTCACGCAGATCCGCGGGGTCAGGGTCCAAAAACACAGCGGATTTGCCACATTTCTGAAATTCGGTGCCACCCCTCACGCAGATCCGCAGGACAGGGTCCAAAAACACATGGGATTTGCTACATTTCTGAAATTCGGCGCCACCCCTTACGCAGATCGGCAGGGTCAGGGTCCAAAAACACAGGGGATTTGCTACATTTCTGAAATTCGGTGCCACCCTTCACGCACATCCATCGCAAGGCGTGGTAACCCAAACTGCGAGAACTCCCTCGGCCCTTTAATCGCAAGGTGTGGTAACCAAGCCCGTAAGCCATACACGTCTTACCAATCGCCAGGTGTGGTAACCCCTCTTGTGATCAGTTGGTTTTGCTGATTGCGAATCGGCTTCGCATGAAGTTTCGATACTGCTTCACAACAGCGCCAAGGCCTCATGACTTAGCTCTTCCATGGCCCATTCTCCGAGAGAGGGGGCCGGCGGCAGGGGGCGAAGCCCTTACGGATATATCACATCTCTCTCTCTCTCTATATATATATATATATGGGGAGGGGGGGTCCAGCCACCCCTCGCACGTACGATCGTTACCCTTACCCACGGGGGAAAGGGTTTGCCCCAGGCAACGACGCTTACGCGTCAGATGATGAAAGAAAACATCTCCAGAACATGGGCCACCGCAGGAAACGCCCCTACTAGCCGCGGTGGAGGAGGAGAAGGAGGAGGACGATGATGAGGGGGAGAAAGAGAGAGGACGAAATGGGGAGGAAAGACGAGGAGGAGAAAGGTCGAGGAGGAGGAGGAGAAGGGGACGGAGGAGGAGGAGGCGGATGATGATGATGATGATGATGATGATGATGATGGTGATGATGATACTGATGATGATGATAATGATAATGATGATATTGATGATAATGATTATGATGATATTGATGATGATGATGATGATGATGATGATGAGGAGGAGGATGGTGATGGTGATGGTGATGGTGATGGTGATGGTGATGGTGATGGTGATGGTGATGGTGATGGTGATGGTGATGGTGATGGTGATGATGATGATGATGATGATGATGATGATGATGATGATGATGATGATGATGATGATGATGATGATGATGATGATGATGATGCAAAGGAGAAGGAGGAGGAGGCGGAGGAGGAGGAGGAGGAAAAACGAGGAGGAGAAGGAGGAGGAGGAGGTGGAGGAGGAGCAAGAGGCACAAGAGGAGAGGGCACGAGGAGGGCACGGGCGCCGGGCGCCGTGGGGCCGAAGCACGCGCTGGGCCGCGGACGCCCTGCGCGACCCCCGGGGGCCCGGGCGCTCGCCCTCCGCCCGTCCCGAGGGCCCCGGGAGCGGCCGGGCGGGGAGGACGAGGAGGACGAGGACGTGGACGAGGAGGAGGAGGAGGAGGAGGAGGAGGAGGAGGAGGAGGAGGAGGAGGGGAGGAGGAGGAGGAGGAGGAGGGAGGAGGGGGAGGAGGAGGAGGGGAGGAGGAGGAGGAGGGGGAGAGAGGAGGAGGAGGAGGAGGAGGAGGAGGAGGAGGAGGAGGAGAGGAGGAGGAGGAGGAGGAGGGAGAGGAGGAGGAGGAGAGGAGGAGGGGGAGGAGGAGGAGGAGGAGCAGGAGGAGGAGGAGGAGGAAGGAGGACTGACGGTGGCCTCGCGCGGCGCGCGCGGGCCCTCGGCTCGGGAGCGCCCTCGGGGGGGGGGGGGGGGAGCGTCCGCGAGGGGGGGGGCTCTTCGCAGAGCATGGCGGGAGGCACGCGCGCGGGGGCGACGAGGGGGCCCAGGGGACGCACTGGAGCAAGAAGCGTGGCCACGAACTCCGGCGTGCGCGGGCGAGGAGGGGGCCAGGGGACGCAGCGGAACGGGGCCACGAAATCCAGGGAGATCTCGTGGTCCCGGCCGTGATATCGCCCCCTCCCCCCTCCCAGTCATCAACCCCCTCTTCCCGATCGGCGCGGAAGAGAGGGAACGGCTCTGGGCAAGGTCTGCGTGTCCGCGGGCTCAAGGGGGGGCCCTCGTCCAAGAGAAGAGGCCCGCGGAGATGCCGAGAGACAACGTGTGCGGGGTTTCGATTGCCCTGCGCGAGATCTTTGGACCGCAGGCCCCCCAGCTGCACGCCAGGTCCTGCTCTTCATTGTCCTCCTCCTCCTCCTCCTCCTCCTCCTCCTCCTCCTCCTCCTCCTCCTCCTCCTCCTCCTCCTCCTCCTCCTCCTCCTCCTCCTCATTATCATTATCATTATCATTATCAGTATCAGTATCATCATCCGTGCATGGTGGAGAAATACCCAGGTCTCGAACGTATTTCAGAAACTGCTGCGACTGTGGGAACACAGCGTGTTCACAACGCATGTTTGAATGTGCTGCTCAAGCGCATGCAGTAATACAATTGGCGGGGGAATTCCTGTCTGATCAGCTTCCGACGATGTTGCCGCAGCGTGGCCGAGGTGAAGCAACAGCAAGAGATAACATCACAACATCACGGCCACAAGAGTGCACATGCTTGATGTGATGTGGCGCAGTCCGCCCTCGTATATCACTCTCCCACTGCCACCTCCCCCCTCTCCTCCTCCTCCTCTTCCTCCTTCTCCTTTTTCCGTTCAAGCACACGCCGGTCAGGTCAAGCCTTGCAATTGACGGTGCGTGAGCAGAGGAAAAGTAGAGAACTCTCGGATGCCTTCAGCATCCTCTGCGGCTTCTGACAACTACCTCCCGCTCGCGCGCTGCACCGCCCTCTGGGCGGAAGTAATCACCGAGACGCGCGTGTGAGCCGGCAACTTCGATGAAATTGCGCATTACTAGATGCCCCCACGTCTGTCGAGGTCGGCCTCGCCTCGGCGGATCAGTCGGCCAGCGCAGCTGTAGAGCGCCTGGCTCAAACACCGAGCCCCGCACTGGGTCATCCGCCGGTCGCCTGGCCAAATCCGCCATAAACATCATCGGTCTTCTGGTGAGTATTTCGCTGAACTTCTCTTCAGAAGCGATTTCGAGCACAGCAGCGTTGGACACTCGACTAACTGAGGCTGGCAGAACACGGCAAATCCTCCGCAAGCAGCGATTCTGAAAATTATCGAGCCTCCGCCGCTCCGCTGTGTTCAACGTAAGCTTCGAGACAAAACAAACGTTGAATATGCGAATCTCCTGCGCCCTGCTGAATCTGGAATGCGACCGAATGGAGTGAAGTGTCTTGAAGTCGCTCGCGGCTGCCCCTAGGCGGCTGCTGGGTTCAGTCCCGACCCTGCCGTCGGCAAAGAGATGTACCAAGATATATGAGCGATTGCTTGTTTTCGAACGGCACCCCCTCGTTGTTCAGCATGCCAGCGGCGGATCCGATGCCCATGAGCTCCAAATTCTTCCACTTGAACTGCAGTCCATTGTGTGCTCTGGACTGCTCATGATGTGCATCAACTCCTGAATTATTGTTTGGTCGCTGTCGATGAGGCAGTGTAGACGAGCTCCCTGACGAATCGTTCCGCAAGGACGTCGCCGAGCTTGCCGCGCAACGCTGTAAGCGCTTGTAAGCAGCGCGGTCGCCACGATTGCGAACCAGAAGGGCGACAGCGGGCATCCTTGGCAGAGTCCGTAATGTCGCTGGTGCTCCGAAGATGTTTGGCCAAAGTCTGCCATTAAAAAAAAGTTCTCGTAGATGGACTCAACCATGCGCGCACATTTGCCTGGGCAGCCGAACCTGAGAAGCGATGCGGCCAGCGCGCCAGCGGAAACATAATCGAACGCCTTCGCCCAATCCAGCGCAAGGAAAATGGTTTGTCCGCCCCTCGTGGACCATGCGTCCTCCATGATGCGGCGGGCGACAAAGATTGCGTCTGCGGTCCCACGATGCGTTCCGAACCCAAACTGCGTTTTCCAAATGCGATCTTCGGCACCCGCTCTCTTGAGTCTCTGCAGGAGGATGGCGGCGAAGATGTTGTACCCGATCGGCAGAAGGCCGATGGGTCTGAAGTGTCGCACAGCGCTGGGTTCCCCTTTTTATATATCATCCGAACTTTCGATGTGTGCCAAGCCTGCGGAACTGACTCTTGGGACCACACCAGGCGCAGAAGCGAGTAATCCACTCCGTCGTCGGCATGCCGTCATCGGCTGCCGCTTTCCAAGATTCAGGCGGCACCTCGCCCACACCACCAGCCCTGCCCCGCTTCCGTTTCCGCGCGGCCTGCCGAACTTCGGCGTCGGTGAGCACGCC